TTGGATGATTTTTTATGATTTTAAAATCGTACAGTTCATAGTATTTGATCATTGTATAAACATTATTATCATCACAGTAAAAATATTTCATATCTTTTTTTTTTAACTATCGTGCTTTGTCGCTGCAGTAAACGCCAGCAAACATGCACATATATTCGCCCTAGAAGCAGACGTCAGTGATGAATGTTGAGAAGGTCGGCCAAAATCGGTTGTCATTCCGAGAAACATCGATGCTGTGCGCAACATGATGAAAGAAGATCGGCATGTGACTTACAGACAGATAGAGGCGTCTCTTAGGATATCGCAGACTGCAATACAATCGATTTTGCATGAACATTTAGGTGCGAGAAAGATATGTTCCGGATGGATTCCGCATAATTTGACCGAAGCGCAAAAAAAGGGTCTGAATATTTGAAGGAGAAAAACATTGAATCAATGTCTCATTGCCCGTATTCACCCGATTTATCGCCTAATGACTTTTTCTTGTTCCCCACTGTCAAACAAAAGATGCGCGGACAGCGATTTTCATCACCTCAAGAGCTGTTGAAGACTTTCAAAACCATGTTTCTACGATATCAGCTTCAGAGTGGAAAAAATGTTTCCAAAATTGATTTGAGCGTATGCAAAAATGTATAGATCTTAAGGGCGAATATTTCGAAAAGCAATAAAACACTTTGTTTCGAACTTGTTCGTTTCTGTTTCACTTTTTGTAAAAACTTAAAAGGCAACCCTCGTACATATAGGCATTGCGTGAGACCGGCAATGGCAGTTTTCGAATTTTCATATCTCCGCTAGGGGGCGTTTCCGCAGATTGGTATTGCATCATCATATTCAACACCCATCCCCCGATTAATGTGCCAAGTTTGATCAAGATCGGGCGTGGGGGGGATGTTTAAGAATAGCCAAATTCCAATATTTCAATGTTATTTCGACGACACAGTTACCGCTATACGTATTCACAGAGGTGATGTGCAAATTTATTATCCTGAAAACGTTTGCATGCTCTCATCCAGTTCTATTTGCACTGAGATTCCATTTTTTGAAGATGCGCACTGTTGCTAGGTAATATGTATATTTATTAAATTTCATTGAAAAGTCATATTCTTTTAATTGAAGAATCATAATCTAACTCAAATTTAAAGTAAATTATATTAGCCTACGAACGCTTTATTGTGATTAACAGTCTTATACGTAGAATATATACATCACATTCTGCATTGAATCCTGTGTAATTTTTTGAATAATGGTCTACTTTTGTAGCGAGTGAATATTTGAATGAGTGCGAGATGCGTAAGAATAGCCCTTGATTAATTGCACTCTAACAGGTCCTCGCATTTACGGTTAGGGAGACATCCGCAAAGTCACTAGATTTCATTTGGTTGTTGTGGTTTGCTCCAAACGTAATCGACTACTAATTTTATATTTCACACAGCTTATAAGACGTATTAGAATAGCAGTCAACAGTTTTAGAAAAAACTGAAGTAATGTTTAGTACAAGGAAAAACAGTTACTGGGTATTCGAATACAATTTGCAACAGAAGAATCACACGTAGCAACTACTGTTAAATATTAAGAACTATATTTAAGCTCCAAATTAACACTTTGATATTAACACACCGAGCTGGTTATAATATTCGGAAAATTACATTTATGTTACATTTGCACAAGTATTAATTTTTAAAGCATAATTTACATTCGCTATAGTGAATAAAAATAAGATGTCGCATGACAAAAAAGATTAAACATGAAACTTACAAATGTTTAGTATGGTTTATTAAACTGTTCATATCTAGATAAACTCATAATTTAGGATGTAGGTATATTATTAATGTACATACTGAGCCAAATACAATACATATTAGTAAAATGCTGAGTGATATAAACAGTTAATCGTTTGTAATAAACAGCTTCATTTAGTATCACATATGTAGACTCTGTATCATATGTTAATGTCGATATATAAATGTCAATATGATTCATGAAAAACATAATCAGTGTCAATATACACGCAACAGAGTTTGTAAATCGTATAGTTTTTTCAGTGGCCATTGTAGCAATTCGAAGAATCCAATTTCATGTGAAATTTCGATTTTCAAAACTCATTATCATTTCAAAACTATGATATGTGCATGTCTGAATGTGTTTTTTGATTAGCTACCCGATGGAATAAAACAATATATATAATTGTATACAAAGAAATCGACGACCTTGAAAACTAAAAATAGAATAAGTTTGACAAAAAATGTTCTTGTAACTAATTAGGTCTTTGAATTTAAATATTACATAATCCTTTGTACCACTGAAAAGAAATATTTCAATAGTTTTATTTAAATGGACAACCTTGCACGTAAAAATAGGTTGAGAACAAAGGAATTGCGGTGAAAAAGAGAACGTATTCTCTTAAAAGCGTCTACAATTGCTGGGATTTGGATCTACCTATAGAGATAATATAAATAAGGCAAGCTTTTAGCAGAATATTTAAAATCTTTAGTCAGAAACAAAATTAAAACCTTTTGTAATGTTAGTATTAAATGTTCTGTAATAAAATGTTCTGTACTAAAGGTTCTGCTAAATATTAAACATTCTGAAAAGCATAAAACGTTCTGTTATGTACTACATGGAAGTTTAAATACTATAAATCTACAAAAATTGAAAAGAAAACAACATCAAATTAAATTACGTTATAAATATAACATATTTTATTCTTTCTCGTAATCTTTAAACGAATTAAATCAGTCGTATTATTCAGTTATTTCGCCATTCGGTTACATTTGTTAACAGTCCCTTTTTCAAAACATTTAGTACGTTTATTTATTTTGTTCATAAAATATTTATCGTGATCAAAAGCTTTGTTCCAAATTCAATAAAACCAATCGACTCTCATTAACCACACAACTGTTTTATCACTCTGATAAAAATGAGAAAATAGAAAACAGAATAAAATGTTGAATATGCACAAAATTCGCAGAACGTATAAATAAATAAAGGACTTATAATTGTAATACAAATTTTTGAAAAATAATAGGAGGAACGATTCTTGTTGTAAGTGTGACACGTGAACAAACAAATGTTCGACTACTAGTAAAAAGGTACTTTCGAGCAGGAATATGTCTCTGTTCGATTTTCTCTTATTTCCTACGTTTTCCCTAGGTACACATTAAGAAAATAGCACAATAACTCTTGATCTGAACAGGGAAAATGCAATTCCTGAAAATGTAGCCACCATTACAGTATAGAGTCAACCATACGAATTAAAATGCGCATTACCGCGTCAGAAGCTACTTATTTTCCACATGAGCACAGAAATACCAGTAAAATAAAAATATTATGCAAGATCGTAAAAGAAATAAAATGCAATAACCAGAATTTAACCACAAACTGGATTTAGAGTATAATTAAGTTAATGAGTTCAAATATGTTCAAATTATACATCTCGTTTCGAACGATTGTTTCCTATAATAAATGGTTCTCGAGCTTTCGTACTTGCCTACCACCAAAACTTTAATTAAAAAATTCCTGTGTCGCTAAATAAACTTCGAGGTTCAAAAAGTTTGGGAATTTCTGTTACATATTATTTATTCAAAGGTTTAATAGGATTTGCAATATATCCTCCTACACGTATGCATTTATAAAATCTTCTGTTTCAAATTCTGAATGCTTCCTAGTAAACCACCTTCAGAATTCGTTTTAACTTTTCCTCTGATTTTGTAATTATATTCTCTCGAGTATCGAAATGTCTTTCCAGTGCTCGGTTGAAGCGAGAGAAGAGAAAAAAGTCTGCTAGCGACTTTTATTACTGAAAGCAATTTCAAGCAACCCCACTGTTTCAGATGCTGTTTTCTTAAGATTAAAACAAAACTTTATACGCGTTCACTGTTCGCTAAAGTCACTCATCTTTAACCCTCTATTTACTGACGGGAAGTTTTCTCGTGATACTGTATTCATTTAAACGCTTTGATATCCATTTAAGACTTTGAAGTCCATTTCTGTGAAGTTCGTTTTTCAATTCTTGAATGGGAGCATAAGCTTATTTCTCTATGGAAGTATATACAATGGACCAAGATGGATGCCTGGAAGATTGAAAATCGTTCGTTTGGTCGTTTTGCATTAGTAAGCTTCAAAAAGAAGGAAATCTGCATCCTAAAAAAAATTCGTTCCCAGAACATTGACAATGAGCACCACTGGATAACATTTGTCACATCATGCGAAATGTGTTAAGACTTCGAAGTGCCAAATAATTTTTCATATAATTAATAACCTTGGTGATAACTTATAATGAGACTTGTGTTATAGGGCGCTTTGTTACACTTTAATTAGGTATTTAAAAAAGTTGGGACAAACTTTAAAGACTTTTAAGAAATTTAGTAAATAAAGGGTTAAGAATCGTTAAAGCTTATGGTTAACCATAATAGACAATTGCTCGACAATTACGCAACTGATTTTTATGAAAGCAATCGAAAATCGCGCGATGCAAGTTTCATTGTTTTTATTGCTCCTAAAATTTTCTATACCGGAGTCCCCAAATTTTTTGAACATACATGTAGGTTCTGTAGATAAAAATTTCAGAGAAATTATAAACTTTATTCCATTAGCGTCATTTCATAAGCTTAAGAGGGTTAGACCCAGTACATTTAACAATGTTAGGTATTAACAATCAGAGTGGTTAATGTAGTGTAATATTTATGGCGGCTTGACGGAAAGCAAAATTTGTATATTTAATTTCAAGTTGTTCAATATTATATTTGTTTTTGACAACAAAACTGTAACTTCGTTTCCATGAAGCAAATATGCAAAATTGAAAATTTATATTTTTATATTAAATATTAAATAATGAATATTATCTGCAATTAAAGTAGTGAACTAAATCTACTCGACTTTCTATTCTCATATGTGCCATTAAAATTAAAAAAATACATTACAAAATATTTACATTATAAGATATTCCAGCTTGTGTTCATAAAAGCTTGCGAGAACAATATTTTATATATTATGAGTACCTACCTGAATGATAATATCAATATTGCCTCCAGACTGCACAAACCCTGAAAATATCTCATACAAAAAAAGTTTAACGACTCATATACCGAATAACAAGGACTTTCAGCATTGCATCAAGGAGTGGAGGAAGATTTTTCCATCAGTGTAGCACCTTCTAAGGGAACTACCGTTTTGGTCACTAATACTAAAGTCTTACAAATTATGCAAATTTATTAGTAGCTGAAACGAAAATACGTAATCACTATCTTTGTGATTAGAATAAATAAAAATGGATTTTGCAGTTACCCAATCAACAGGATTCATATCTATTCCACAACTCATCCTTTGTGACGAGAAGGATACTCTAAGAGTGATCACTCGTTTTTTAAACGAAAAGTTCAGGAAAAACATTATAACACAGAACAAATTTAACAAATATAGTCTTTTGGAGTAAACCACGTGTACCGTCGTGACTATCTCGCCGTCTAAGGCAAGATTTTGCTAGATAGTCTCACTAAAGAATCCATCAGCAAGTTCCGGACGAAGCACTTCTTACATTCTTTTTCACAACACATTTGCCATAGCACAATTCGAAGTGAGCAATGAAGCGGAACGCAACTCATTAATTTGCCGAGTTTCAGTCATGACGTCGCGATTATGAACGAAAAACTGCTTATATACAACTTTCTTGAACGCGCGAACTTCTCGTGTAGATATCGTGACTACGATGGACCGGAAGTGTACTGGGTCGCAATGGGCTCAGACTTTTTTCGACTTTCTCCGTGTATCCGTTTGGATAAACCCACGAGTTCTTGGTGTGCAGCACCGATGACGGTGACGGATAATCAAGATTTTCCAAATGGCTGAAGTCTTTCGTTCTTTCCGGCTTCGTGGTCCCGAAATTTGCCTCGAAAATGTCCGGTCTCTTGTCCACCTTGTTTGGAATCACGTCGGGATCATCGTCAGCCATATCAGCGGACATTTGTCCCTTGGTCTTGTCCCTGGATTCTTTGTTCAAAGGCGTTATCACCACATTGTCCTCTTTGTTCCCATATTGCACCACTTCGGTGTGAGTTTTCATCGGTTGCATGGGACGACTGCGACGATACAAGGTCAGAGTTATCCCAACGATCAAAATGCACAAGGCCGTTATCCCACCAGCGAAACAAGCCACCAGCAAGCTATAGTCCGTGCTTTCGTTCGAAGTTTCACGTCCTGGGAACATAGGAAAACGTGACTCACGTAAACAGGATCGTTACAAGGCTCCGGAGTTTGAGGTTTGGTTCTGGCTTGTTATAGTATCAGCAACGAATTGTCTAATCCCTTGCTTTACCATTTTTTGAACTAACATTGTAACTGTTTTGAAACTGTCAAGTACAAATTAACACCTTGCAAATCTGTTATTTATTCTTTCATACCTGTTTTTTAATGTTACGATACAATCGGTAAAGGAATCAATTCAGGTGATAAAACAGTTTTCATAAATTGTTACAAAATTTTACAAATTTTTGCAACTATAAATGTAACAAATTTTAAGGTATGTTTCACTAACTGACCATTTTCAAAAAACATTTGAAGTCGAAATTTTCCGAAGTGGATTCTAATATAAGTTAGTCGATGAATTGTGATGTAGATAATTCAATTTTAGAATGGCACCACAGTCAGTTTCGTAATATCACTTTGATACATCCAGTGTCAATGGCTACATTTGAACAATTGAAAACGTAATTAAAGTATATTAGGTTGATTGTAGTGAATTTCAATTAAATATCAAATATTAAAGCTACGTTGAACTTCTTTTTTTACTTGTTTAATCCAATTTGTATTATACTTCACTGGAAGGAATTTTAAAATTTAAAAAGTTTTTCCATCGTTATTATAAAATATTGTACTAAAAATATTTATTAAAAACATTCAGACGTTTCTAAAATAGTATAACTTCTTTTAAAACTAGAGTAAAATTACAGTAAATGACATAAACTAATAACACTTTCTGAAACTTTTTCATGGAAATTTGAAACAAACGATCACATTTCTGAATTTAATTGGAAAAAGATATTTACAAATTATTTAGAAGGGTGACTACAAGACCAAATTTTGTTTTCGACAGAATGAACATTCGAATGTACAACATCGTTCGTTCGTAAAAAAAAAGACGTTTCAGACGTGTCTGGTAAACGAGATTCGCCTTTTCCGCTATTTATTGGATCACGGAGGAAACGTAAAGAACTTCCGACAGCAAAGATTAAGAATAGAAGAAGAGACTGGACCACTGACGACGATAGCCGAGCTCTTTGGCATTCAGAAAACGCTTTGGTTCGTTAGGCAACGAACGTTTCGCATGTACACGCTTTTCTTTGTGTACGTGTATCTTTGTTCATGTACATACACACGTATACCAAGACAAACACATATCGAGTTAATTTGATTTATGTACGCAGCAACCTTTACTGGCAGTTTGTAACCTGAGTAAATACATCGTTCCCAATACACTAGTTTTACTTTAAATAACGTTAGCGAAAGAACAGTAATTTGAACGAAAATGAGATCATTTGAAAGCTACAATAAACAGTTAATTGTGTAGGTATTTGTGCTTCTTCAGTTACTAATTGAAATATAGTACATTCAGATCAAGAAGAAACAGTATTAATCTCTCGCTATATTTTAACGAATTTGAGCCTTAATCGTTACACTTCATTAGAACAGTATTCCTGGCATACTGAAACGTTTTAGACTCAGCCACTTACAATGTTTCTTACAAGAAAGCTATTATTTTAACTTGACAAAAATTGTAAGTAATTTGTGAAAGCTGTTTGAACATATTTCACAGCTGATTTCGGTAAATTTAAACGTTGAATATGAAAAAAATTCAGAAACGTGAAAAAATTAAATGATACTCCTGAGATATAAAAGTTTGAGGGAAAAAATAATAAAAGCACTAGTGTTTCAAAAAAGGTATTCTTTCAGATTGTCAGCATATAAAGTGGCTAAAATTGACATTAATTTGGCAGGGATCGTTTCATACCCCAGTGTGACCGTTAAGAGTTAATTCGTGACGCACTGACAATTCAAATGTGATAAATCCTGCCGGCATTTTTAATAGTTCCAATTGGAGGTTTAAATCCAATTAAAATTTGCATAGTCAAGGACCGTTGAATATGAAATTGATAGAACAATCTAACTTTCTTTATTTGTTTTGGTGGTGTAGCAGTGAATAGTTAGTGTTAACTCACAAATTAATGATATTGCAGGGGTGTGAACATAAAATGTTGCTTTTAAACAAAAGGACACAGCAAGATGAGGTGGTCAAAAGTGCCCATGAATCGATTTCACCTAGTAATGGCCCATTCCATAGCTTACTAAACAGCAATATCGTGTACCAAGTTTCAGCTCTGTATATTAACTGCAAGGATAGTTATAAACAAAATTCTAATTATCGAGTTTCAATCTGTTTCCCCTATTTAGTGACATTTATAAATTCCCAAAAAATGCAAAAATATCACTGACATGACAAAGTATGTTAGATAACTTTCTTTAATTTTTCCGTCGTATATTCAAGATGTAAGAAACAATAAACTGTGAAAAAATCTTAAAAAATATAAATGTCGTATCGAAGTTTGAGAGTAATCATTTTCTTAGTTTTACAATAGAAAGATATTGACATGTCTATTATTTTCTTATTTTTCTATGAATTATTTTTTTCAGAATTTTTCGTAAGGCGTGTTATAATAAAAGCAAATAAAAAACTGACTTCTTCGACGTGTTTCAAACAAGAACGTAGGTTGACAATTGTAAGCTGTTTTCTTTATACAATGAATGGGTTACGTGATTTTTAATATTTCTGTTTTAGACATAACAAAATATAAATTAAAAAAGTCAAATTAATTTTAAAAAATAGGCTGAGGAACGACATTTTGATTAATGATTAGTAAAATTAATGCACTAACCAGTTAGCAGGATTATAGCAATAAAAAAAATGGATAAAGCTAAGGTAAAATGGAATTTAGAGTTACTTTACAGATTACCAAACATAAACATCAATTTTCTAAAATAATTAAATATCTTCAATTTATATTTTATCCCACTTAAAAAAAATATTACAAATCACATAATAAACTTATTTCTTAAAGAAAATTAAAAGCTTGCAGTTAATTCCATGTTGTTGCACAAAATACATAAAAATATCAGTTCTTTAATTAACTTGCTATTGCACACTTTATCAATGAATTAAAAAAAAATAAGAAGACAGAAGTCACACCAACATTTTTGCAGTTTTGTAGACAGTTTTTTAGTTTCTTTTTTTCTGTACCTGGAAGTTGCAACGAAAAAATATCGAAAAATAGCCATCCATAATATGTCATGTTGAAAATATCCTCGCATTTCTGTAGAAGTTTTGTATATCACTAAATAGGGGAAACAGGGTGAAACTTGATAATCTAGATTTCGCTTATAACTACCCCTGCGCTTGAGATATAGATAAGAGCGAGGAGAAGAGTAACTGCGAGATAAAAGCAACACGCTTTCTCCTCATTTCTACAAACGTTTTCAGACAATTTATTTTTCATAGTTGCATGTGCATATCTGTTTTGTTCTGTTGATTGGCAGTGAGCCATGATATGAATCGCATGCGCCGGTTAAAGTGAATTGGTAATTCAGATCATTCAGTAAATTTCTACCACTTCAACTTTCTCGTTAGTATTCATAGTTGAACTATTCCTATTATGCCAATCTCTTCTTAGAACGTTCTTAGATAACATCTTTATAAGCTTTTACAGTTAATTTCAACAAATCATATATATTTTGTAGGTTATAAGACTTCTGTTTCGGAAAACTCGATTGAGGACAAAGGTAATATGTTATGAGTACAAAGCAATTGTAAAAACTATTCCAAGGGCCATATATTATACATGTCATAACTGTAATTGAAAATGGATAAATAGGACACATATACTATGTGAAAAAAATGTTCGAATCTAGACATGAATTCTATTTTTCAATATTTAAATTTACGAGAATTATTTCTATCGTTGTTTAAAATATATGTTCATTTAAGCATTTCTTTTTGTTGTTTTCTATAATAAAAATCCTATATTGCATTAGAACAAGTATTTTTATTTGATTCTCCACAAAATGATTAATGTTGCTTTTGTCCAGTTGGGCCAAGACAAAAATAACAGTAACTGCGGAAAAAATGTCACAGTTCTTTGACTAGTTATCGCGGAGAAATTTTTGGATAAAATTATTCACCAATAAACATACTTTGTTGTTATGTAATTTTGGTTTCTCTACTTTTAGAAGCTGATTGACAATGAAGCCATAATATAAAAAATGTTAATTTTGTCTCCGCTCACCCTTATGGGTTTCAAACTTGCACACGATGTTGATTTTCGGTAAAATATTAAACAGTATATTACAAAATAAATTCAATTCAAGATTACTTTTTAATTTTCAACATGAATACCTAACTTGCAGTGAATGACCAAATTACTATACTCAAGAGATATCTGTTTAAAAATATGTGATAGACGTGACTTTAATTAATTTAACACTGGTATCGATACTTAATATACTCTATGAATAATGGATGTACATAATAAGTGTATGTTAAGTATTCTACGTTTTCTCTATTAGTGGTTGAAAAATCTTGACTTCAATTTAAGCAACGTTATATTTAGTAAGTGCTGAATTTTTCTGTATTTAGAATTGTAAATAATGAAGGTGACGTGACGAAACATTAAATAATTGTATTTTCTTGTATAATATAGAGTTCGACTTAGATTGAAGTATTCGATTTTTAATTTTAAATACATGCATTATTTTTAAAAAATAATTCACTGTAATGAGATACACAATACATTACAGTCCCTGGTCATCGAATTAGGACGACTGTACATTTTCAGCATTGTTCACGTTTTCCCTAAAATAACAAGGCCTGTTCAATTTGCAATCATATAATTCATTAGCTGCTAACACGATACACTACTACAGTAGATAACATTATTAACACATAATAACATCTTGTATTTGCGCCCTTTGCTTTGGCGACAACTTGTCTCCTTTCCGTCAAGCTGGATAAACATTGCTCGATCATATGCTTTATATCTTCATTATTTTCGTAAATATTTGTAATTCTTGTTTTCAACTGACAATGAGATAATGTGGTGTTTGGAAAGTTGTAAACTATTCTTCTGAGTGGGCACCAGACATTTTCTATAGCATTTATCATTGACCTCACGCGCCATCAATACTCGACCCTAACGTAAACGCTTGCACGACACTTAATCACTCATCACCCACACCATTTGATTATTATCACGGTAGTAACCCATCAATTGATATCGTTATCAATGTATTTAGTAATAATTTTGCATGACCTAAGACAATTTTGTTATCCTAATTTGATGGCCAAGGACTATATATTTTAAATATTGAAAATGTAATATATTATAACATTAAACTAAAAATACGTACTCTACTTCATCAGTCAATGTTATAAAACATGGAACCTTTTGTTTATATCATAATAATTTAACCACTCGCCGTATTTACGACACGTCTGGCACCAGTCGTTCGAACATCGGAAAAACGTGGGAAAGTGTTCTTTACGACTGTGTTTAAAACCGCTGCTATTCTTTCTTGAATTGCTTCCAAGTCATTAAAACAAATTCGTTTGATGGCCATTTCGAACTTTAGAAACAGGAAACAGCAAAGAGATGCAGCAGCCAGCAAATAAATTGAGTATTTGAGTAAGATAACCTATTTAAGACTTAAAAATCTAATGACAACCAATAAAAATTCGTCGGAGTTTTATCGTGCAGTACAATCGGCCATTTCCAAAATAAGATTGAAACATCTTGTTACGAGTCAGATAACCATTCCCATATGTAGTTCATATGTAGTTTTCATGACTCTGATTGGGAGACCTCTAATATTGTTAATATGACTAAAAAAAATATCAATTAGTAAACTTTTTCAATGGACTGAGTAAATATTATGAGATGTCAATTAATAGGAACAGTTATTTTTTCAACTAAACTTTTGTTCAGCATAAATTGTACAAAATGTAAAAAGATTAGAAAGTCTTCAACATTGCAACAAGTAACCTTTCAACCTATTACAAACCTAACGCCGAATAAAGTTAATCGGCAACCTATCTACCCTGTGTATTCATTTAACCCATCATACACATAATCGATTTCATCTGCACATATTATAAACTATCGTGCTGCCTACGAGAAAAAACGAAAAGAATACAATACAACAAAATATCTGATTTTCCATGAAGCGAAATCTGCCATTTTGTTTGCCGGAAGCTAACATTCTGTTCAACGTATCTGTTCGTATTTGCAAAAGCTGCTGATACACATTTCGTGCGTGTACGTGTTAGGAAGAAATGACAGGGTTGGGTTGAAACCGGTTGGAACAGTTCGAAGAGGTGCGCAAAGGTTAAGACGGGGTTAGAGGTGGTCTAAAATACCCTGTATTATCAGTAGAACGAACACAGCTACCAATCCAAGATGAGTCCGTGTCGCAAACGTGTTCGAAGTCGTACACACAGACACCTAGATAGCAAACGTACCAACACATAGCGGAATCGTCCACGGTCCGACATGAATAAACCATGAGGATGGAAATTAAAGGCGATAAATGCGCCTCGAATGAGACAGCAGCGAAGAAAGGGGACCCGGTCTTTATGGGATTTTAATTCAGGGTCCGCGAAAAGGAAAATACAAAGAAACGTATCGTATGGAAGGAGGTTGCCGAGGAAAAGAGGTCTTAAAATTAACGCGGATGTGAATATAATTGCGTCTCTGAATATCGGGCAAAGGCGTTTGCACGTGGCGATATGAATCGTTCACCCTGTCGTATAATTTAGGCAAATTTAGATACTGACGAATATTCTCAAGTCTTTTTCTTTTTCTGTGCGTTGATATTAACGGAATATTACTATTCATTAATGTTATGCTAACAATGATATTACTGACAGATATTACAGTGAGATTCAAATAGTATAGGTTCAATATTCGTGTTTTTATTCATCTGATAATACTTTATAAATGTATTACTGTATAATGTACTAATAAAATTGTGCTATAATAACATCAGTTGTTAAATTAATTGAAACTTTATAGACACACGTACGCGTATAAACTTTTTCAGGAAAATGGTGATGTAGGAAGCATCCTATTCCAAGTTAGTTTTTGGCAACTTTTTAAATTTAGAAATGATCAAATTTCAAATTAAAAAAACTACTAAATTGTAGAATTGTAAAATTTCTAATGTAGAATTCTACACCACAACACCATAGAATTTTAGAACTAATGGGTTTAAAAAAAAATTTGGACCTTGGAAATTTGACAATTTAAAAATTTCGTACAATAGATTTTTGGAAATCGATAAATTTTGAATTTTAGATTCTTCGCAGTTCGATAATTTGAAATTTGAAATTTTTGCAAATTTGGAAATTTGAAAATTGGAAATTGCAAAATTTAAGGATATTCAAACTTGAAAATACAATAACTAAGAAAAATTAGAAAAATAATTCGAAAATTTGGAAATGTAAGAATTTGGAAATTTGAAAAATTATAAATTCAATAACTTAAACATTTGGAAATTCGAAAATAAAAAAATTTGAAAATTAAAAAATTCTCAAGTTTATACATATATCTGTCTTTATGAAACAAAAGCTTACATTGAGCGATCAAATAGCAAAACTTACATAAATATACTAAATAATAGTTATTTATGTATGCACATAAAATATCGCATATAAACACGACTTTATTTTTTAATACGCGAATTGCACCGTTCACATTGCACACATAGTAATAACTTATTTTGATACTAGAAAAATGTAAGTTTTGCTATAGGTAGTATAGGTCTTAGTCTTTAAATACTATTAACAATTGTTGGGAAATATTAACGAAATAACTATATTCTACAGAAAAATAATTTAATAGTATGGATCAGTTAAAAATGTGCTTTGAATGTATACATGTTGAAAATAAAATATAATTACAAAATTATATTTTCTTCTAAAACAAATGTTAGAGGTTGTGCAATATAAAATACCGTTTCTCTGTTAATTTTTTAAGGAAAGTGCCGTGTGTCTCATAGTTCTGTCGCGGATAATTTCATTCCTATGTATTTTTACAAAATTTTTACATCCATAAATGCTTCATAAGTGACCATTCCTTTTTATACAAAAAGAAGATAAAAAAGAATCTGCTTACAGGAAAAACCTAGTCTCGAATAACACGAAACACATCTAATTTCTCCCGCCAAATACTAAAGCAAAAGTTGAAAATTCCTCGTGCATAACTAAAATCAAGCAATAACGATTATACACGTCGAACACAAGGTAAATTATCAAATTCATGAAAATATAAAGAGAATGAAAAAAATCATTTTTTATTGCATAAAAAATGAATAATTTGTTAATTTGTATTCGATAAAATGTTAACAATTCGTTAGTTTTTAACGTTAAAAAATTAACGTCAACCATACCGAAACAGAGTTTGAAACATAGTTAAACTGTTACCTATAAAGTTTAGTTATCGAATACAGTTAACTGATTAAGCATGATATAAAAACTGCTGCAAGCATTTATTGCTATAGTTCAGATCTACCTACCACAAATAATTTTCAAAAATTTATTTACTTATCAGCGGAGGGAAGTCAGTAGGTCTAAACTAGGCTTCAGATATAATATAGTCTTATAAGGATTAACATTCCATATCCACGTTTCGAGAACTTACCAGTGGTATACATAGCAACTCCTTTCAGCGTGACTGGTTCAAGGACAACAGGATCACTACGTCCTTTAGCGTTGACTGCGTACAGATGTAGCCTGTAGTTACGACCAGGTTCTAAACCAGGAACTTCGAAAACCGGACCGGATGAACTGGATCTCTCTGTGCGATTCAAGTAGATGGTATTGACATGATTAACGTTCTCTTCGCTATAGACCTCGAGTTCGTAATTAGTCAAGGGCAAACCGCCATCAAATCCCTCCGAGCATCTGACAATCAGCCAGTCAGCGTCTCTCGAGTCGGTGGCTTTAAAGTCCTCATGACCTGTTTCATACGAAGAAATGAAAGATTTAGAGGAAACAAGGATGAAAACGAGAATTCAGTTATTTCGTTAATTGATTTAAAAATACATGAATACATAAATAGTTACATGACATATTGGAAATACTTTTTACTCAATTAGTACTTTTTTATATCTTTAGCACGTAATTAACGAATCAGTCAAATCACTGCTTTTTATTTACAAAATTTGTGAAGATCATTGTGAATTTGTATTTTAAATTGTGAAGTTTATAAAGATTATGTTTCATTTATTTCTTTATTTTATTTTTAATTTCATGTCATGTGTGTTATACGCTGGTTACGTTTGTTATAATGCGAATGTGATAAACCGTGTCAAGGTTTGAATTATATCTAAGTCTTACTTCACTCAAATTTAGAAGATATAGAATTTTTATGAATGCAATACTTAGATTTAGGCCATAGCATAGTATGTGGATTAACATTCATTTATAGTACCAATATAACAAAAATAAAATGTTTTCACCTTACAAACCTAGTTCATTTTTACTGATTTTAACACACTGTGAGTATTGGGTTCAATTCTAATTTATAATTTGTATAATCAAAGACTGCTAAATGTATAATATACTGAACAACTTTCTTTATATCTTAATATTGCAGTAGCAATAAGTTATGAATGATACATAATAATAATGTAGTGATGTGAATACTGCAACTATCAAAAAGTTCTAGGTTAAGTAAAAGTAGACGAAACAAGTATATTGCAGAAGCTTATGCATTTATGGTACGTTGAAGTCTATGAAGTATAATAAAATTATGAAGTCTATGAGATCTACAGTCTGTAGATTGCATAATTTACGTTCATTTTGCATACTACGGTGTATCATAAATACACAAACATCCATAGTTTACAAATAAGAATCAAATTTGCTGCGTCACAACATGGCGGCACCTACGAAGCGAGTATGGCAACAATATACGCATAATGTATACAAATGAGTATTGCTGCACGGTAATGCTAACGACGTCAGGTGCGTATAATTTAACCTTTTGCACTTGGTGATTTTATTTTAATATTTAAAGTGTCCCTTCAAAGGGGACAACCGAGTGCAAAAGATTAATAAGGAAATATCTGTTAAACTATTACAAATATTTCTTTTATTAAAAATATATCTTTAAAAGAAATGTTTCTCTTTAATATTTTGTAATTAACCATAAATTGAAATCGTGTGCATAATTGTTATGCAGAGTATTATTATCGTACTTTATTATAATACTTTTATAGTATATACAGTTTGAAGTGGTTAATGAGCAAGCTAAATAATTTATTAAGTTCAATTAATTATTTAGCCACCTACATTAGTACGGGTCGTTTCGCCAGTTAATTATACAGAGATATTGAAAATGTGAAAATATAATGAATTTTAGTAGGGTATTAGGAACCAAAATTAAATAGATGATGTAAATTGAAATCTTTGTACAAATTCAAATTTGGAGTCTAATGTTCATAGGTCAAAGTGCTTAAAATATTAGAAGAGTGCAAGTTCTAATAGAAGTATTCTGTCGGGTTTATAAAGGACGACTGTGAAATACAACCACGGAAGAATTTGCAATAAATTAATAATAATTATTATCATTATTGTGAAATTATTTGTTGTAAAATTAACAGCTACTATGTTGTAGTTAAATAAAGGAAATATATAAATAATATCATGTAGATATTGTGTATTGATTTCCGTTTTTGCACAAATTAACAGTACATGAAATTATATCTCACGTCTTTTATATTTAATGTGAACAGGATTAATACGATAAAAAAGGTTACAAATTAATTATTGTTAACTATACATATATATGGAATGGAAACTTTTGCATGTTCCTAATAGGTTACTTAAATTACTCCTTCGGTTTTCGTGATAAAAGAAATATTTCAGAAGTATGCTGTTGTAGTGTATGGAGAACCTACTTTAACATTAAAAGCTTATTGGAGAATAATGACATAAAAAACATTCACCATTTTTTTTACTGAGTTTTTTTTTACTGAGAAATAATGTTTCTTACTTATCCTTTAATACAGTGTTTTTAGTCACGAATAATGATATATTGCAGAAAATTATTTTTATCAAATGATTGTTCTTTTAAAAGTAAATTATTGTGAAAAATAGTTTAAGAAATTGACTAAATAGCTTATAAAATTGATTAGCATGTTTCATAGCAATTATACTATACATTCTGTTTTAATTTCTTTAATATAATTTTTATTTAAAGCGAAGAAATTTGATACTGTTTTCGTTCTTAAAAAATGTCGTTAGATCATGAGAAACCTAATGTGTTCCTATAATAGTAAATAATTTCAAATAAAATTCGAACGTAATAAAAAAATACAAAGAAAATGAAGTGTAAAGCAAAGATGAATTATCTTCTATGTAGGTAAAACTTGAAATTGAAGAATTTTATTAAATAAAACGATTTATTGGAAATTATTTATGAACCATAAAGTACACGTGCAGAGCTGCGCATACAGTAACCTGTTGGATGATTAATATTTATAACTAATATGATATCATATGCATGATTAATGATTGTGCCTTCTACATAATCCATCGACCATGATCAATGTATAATAAATGTAATTCACAAACACAGTTAACTCTACAATCATTAATCATGAAATGATTACATTTCTAATTATGATTAATTATGAACTTGTAATGATGATATATTGCTTTCAGATAATTTGTATTTGTCAAATTCAATGGAAAGGAGAAAATAAATAAATAAATATACATTTATACATGTACGTATAACTACAAATCGTGTTCTTGTTAGCATGGAGGTAGTTTAAATTTTCATTTTTCTATATCTTCAAATCTACGTGTCTAACATATGTTAAAATGTAAATTTTTAAATTAAGGAGTTTATATTTTTTCAACGTCTTAAATTTTTAGATTTAGAAATTTTCACATTTTCAAATTATTGTATTTAAAAATTTTCTGATTTAGAAATTTCCATACTTCTAAATTCATTTTCATTTAGACATTTAAAACTTTTCAGATTTAGAATTCGCGAAAGTTTTAAATCTCAAATTCACAAATTTAAACGTCTATACTGCTCAATTCTGCTTTCTCAATTTTATATTTTTTTATGTTGTATTTTCCTTGTTCAGTAAAAATAAAATAAAGTCAATTTCCTTTGTTACAACTGAAATTAGAATATCGTTTCTGAAGAGGTTAAATAATTTCTCACTTCGTAATACAATTTTACAAATTTTAGTGACATTTAACAGTTGTATATAAAAGGATTAAATGTCCTTGCAAAATACCGAAGACTTTTGGGGTCAGTTTAGTGAGGAATTTATTAGGATAAAAAGTCCCAAGGACAAAAAAAAGGTTGCCTAAAGCGACCCCAAAGAGCATCAAGCACCCTAAGCGGCAGGATCTCCATCTCCGGTATCGGTCTACTGTAACAAGAAACCCCAGACCCCTTCAATCGATCCCCAAAGCCCGCCTAATTTCACGAATTTTCTCGCACGACTGGTCACCTTGTCTTTCCGAGGATACAGCAGAAAACAGGCTGTTGAACACAATACAGGGTTATCGATCGTAAGCCGTCATTCTGTACGATGGGTAATGACATAGTTGACACCATTTAGGTCAGAAGAAGGGTTCAAACAGCATGGATCGAGTGCTACTTACCCATTCGATACGCGTAGGGTCCAGTCGACTGAAGGGCTGTGCAATTTTGCAGGGGGTAAGGTTTTCCGGCCACGATGATCTGAAAAACACACGGGGTCTTTTGCACCCCGATCCGGTTTTTGGCCCAGCAAGCAACCGTGCCGTAGTCCATGTCGTTTGCTGGCGTGTAATTCAGCCTGGAGCCGTGCCAGTGGCTAGTGATCAGACTCACAGGTTTGACATGTGTAAATTTATTGGCAGGCACATTCATCAGCTCTCCGGAATTATTGAAGGTCCAGTGGAAAGTTGTGGGTGGCGGTTTCGACTGAACAGCACATACCAACGAGATCGTCTCGTGCTTCAAAGCACCAACCACTTGAGTCGAAGAACCGTCCTTGCAGATCGGTACATCTGAAAATGCGACAAGTCACGATCTCAGATGTCGACCTGGGGCGATATCTTTTCTCCTTCAACTTTCAATGAATTCCGTCGCGACAGCTTTTTTATGGATAACGTATATGTTGCAGACTAGTGATCATGAAAGTTTGCTCAATAATGTTAATAACAACGATTGTATTAACGATGTTAGTTGATTTTTTTTGTATATTATCAAGAATGTGTTGTATATTAGTTCAAAATTTCTGAGTATTCAACTTTCGGAACATGTAATGTTAAAAATTTGTAAATCAATAAAATTAAATACAAATTTGCAAATTTGTAAGTTTGAAAATGTGTAAATTTGTAAATACATAAATTTATAAGTTTGTAAACTAGTAAATTCGTTACTTCGTAAACCTATAAATTCGTACATTTAAAAATTTGGAAATTTATAAACATAGAAACACGAAAATTTAAACACAAAACGTGATTTTATAAATTTATGAACTTTAGAGTTTGTTATATTAGAATTTTGAAAATTCAAAACTTAGTAATTTTATACATTTATAAACTTCAGAGTATGAAATATCGAACATTTCTGGATCTATGAACATGAGAATTTGTAATTGCGAAAATTGATAACATTGTATATTTGAAAATACCTACATTTCTATCAAGGAAACACAGTTGCTGTATTATTGATTTTAACAAAACTTTTTCTAATAAGTATATAACAAAAGTAATTTGATCCATCTGTGGTCTATTGTTTTTTAAATTGTCACTTATTATTCCACCACCTTCATTAATTGTTGCAATATCATTTAGAGACGCAGATCTTTTAAAATCAAACACTGAGCATTAAATGTCTTTCCAAATAATAAGCATTGACAAAAGCAATAAAAAGACGGTTTATTTTTTAAAATTGACTGAGCAGTATTTATTTGAATTATAATACATTTCTAGTTCTGATTTAAACAGGAAAACGTCTAGTAGTTCATACTTACATAATACCTCGAGTGTGACTGGCCTACTAGTAGATTTCCCTTCAGCATTGACTGCCATACAGGAATATTCACCAGCAGAATTTCTAGTCACGCTTTGCAAAACTAGAGATTGCCCGCTGGGAAGAAAAATTCCAGCAGTTGCATTTTGATGTAACTCCTTATTGTCTTTGTACCAGACCAACTTGTACGCCTCCGGGTTTGCTTGTATGTTGCATTCGAAGTAAACGTCGTCACCCTCATTTATATCGTTCGCTTTCAAGCTTGAACCTAGTTTGATCGTCACTATTGGAGCGTCTGGAAATAATAAATACAATGAAAATAATAAGTAGATATAAATATCTACCAAAATCAATGTTATCACAATTAATTCTTAGTTTATACATAAATAGTAAATCAATGTTCTTGGTGGCAACTTGTTCTATGCTACTTTTTTTGAAATTCCCACATTTTTAATTTTTGAAATTGTCAGATTTTCAAAGTTACAAAATCTCTAAATGTGACATTCCCATACTTACAAACCTTTAAATTTTTCAGTATTTGAACTTTCAAATTTTCTAATATCCAAATTTTAAATTCAAAAGATTCCTATGCCCTTAAACTCTCAAATTCACAAATTTTCGAATTCACAAATTTTCAAATTCACAAATTTTCAAATTCTTAAATTCTCAAATTCTTAAATTCTCAAATTCTCAAATTCTCAAATTCTCAAATTCTCAAATTCTCAAATTCTCAAATTCTCAAATTCTCAACGTCTCAAATTTTCAATAAACTTCAAACTTCATAAATTTTCAAAAAGTCTCATATTTTGAAATTTACATATGCACAAATCTTCAAAACCTCCAAAATATAAACAATCCTAAATTCCCAAATCTCTGAACTCTCAAAATTCACAAATTTTCGAAATCCCAGATTCTCAAATTTGAAGTTCTCAATCTTCAAATTCCAAAATCTTAGAATCCTTCAATATCTAACAGTCTATTTTTATCATTTACTAAATAATTTTAAAAAAATATTAGCGTCGAATTTAATATACATACTAAGAATTAATAGCGAAATGCGAATAAAGAAGTTTCTGAATATAAATAAATATATTCGTCGTAAAATTGTACGGCAATCGTAAACTTTTAAACATTAATATTGGAGAATGCACTGATTTAAAGAAATTGGTCTGCTAGCATTATATTCAACAAATATTGATTCAAATATTTACTTATTTTCGAATTGTACTATTTCGATGTTGATTTTACTTAAAATAATACGAGCATAGCGCACATATTAATTTTTTGCACTTGAGGTTATTGTTTGCTATTTGCATATAAAAACTCTGAAGCTTTTTAGTTAAAATATTCGCTGCATTTTTTTGAAGGTATTATTTCTTTATCATTAATTGTTACTATTATTTGTATTGTGATATTTATACGTTACATGTATAACTTTATAGGTTTAGTTAAGAAATATTTATTTTAAATTCGAGTGCAAAGATTAATATTATAAGTAATCATAAAACAAAAATATGATCAGTGTCGTTCCGACAGTTGAATCAATCGGACGTGTTATTACCTACTCGTTCCGTTACGTCTGCCGTATGTACATACATACAAGTGCTAGTGTTAGTGAGTGCTGTGTCGTAAACAGTGTCAACTTGTAGTGGTGATTTTATCACCACTACATAATATTTTGAGGTAGGTATACATACATCATACGTATCACCATGTCAAAACAACTGAACCCGTATAGCGAAATAAGCAAACCAAGTTATTCTTCCCAAATCGATGAAAATCAATTTAACCTAACGGAAAATTGCCAAAGCACCCAAAAATTCAATATGACTGGAACCAAAACTTCATATGCGAACATAACGAAACACGAATATACGCCAACCCAAAACTAAACTATCATTCTGCAGTCAATCGATGGTATCACAATTAAGGAGTACGCTCGGGCAATCGGTAACATAACGGGACCCAAAGCTATAAAATATCTTTCCAAGATTTCCAACGGAAGAATTTGTATGTATTTAGATTGCAAAGAAACGGTTACAAACTTAACCTCTAAACACAAAACAGTTCAAATCAGCAACGTAAGCATAGAAATCCGCCCAATGTTACTAACGGCACAACGAATCATTTTATCAAACATCGCACCCATAATTCCAAATTCAGTTATTGAAAATATTTTTAGAAAAAATAACATTAAACTACATTCAAAAATAACTCCACTAAAAGCGGGAATCACCGACCCAGATCTGTCGCATATATTAAGTTTTAGGAGGCAAATCTACGTTGACTTAGAAGATGCTAAACAAATCCCGAGCTCTTTTCTAGTTACGTTAGAAAACAACACCTACAGAATATTAGCTACTACAAAGAAACAGACATGCTTTAGATGCAATCAAGAGGGACATATTGCAAAGCAATGTCCCAATAACCTTAACCCAAACCCAAATGAAACTAGCTCACAAACAAACCCTATCTCACAATCGTTCCCAGCCTCCACCACTAATGACCAATTTCAAAAAATACAAATAGAGAACCCAAATACACCTGAACACATAGAAGCAGTATTGCAAGAGGCTTCCAACACAGCAGATCTTAAAGAAAGAGAAATAGAAGACCAGATTGCAGATAAATATATTTTTCAAAATATACTAAGGATTTTTGTTCGCAGACGACTTAACACTAACCTGTAGCGGGAAAAACTTAAACATTATCATGCAGCTTCTACAGGAAAGCATAAACGACATTCTATTATGGTCCGGAAAATCGGGACTCAAATTTTCCCCCGAAAAAACAAAATATATTATCTTTTCCAGACAAGGAAAATCACACATACCACTAATCTCCATATGCAGAACACTGAAATCGAAAAGGTAGACAGCATTAGGATACTCAGACTCATCTTTGACCACAAGCTAACCTGGGGACCACATATTAAATATTTAAAAACCGTATGTACAAAAAAAATGAATATCATAAAAGCGTTAGCAAATAATAGCTGGGGAGCTGACCAAGAAATTATTATACAAACCTACCAGGCACTAATTCGATTTAAATTGGACTACGGGTCAATAGTGTATAACTCAGCTAAACCCAATACCTTGAAAGCAATCGACTCAATTCATAATGCCACTTTAAGATTAGCCACGGGATGTTACAGAACTAGTCCAATAAATAGCATACTATTCGAATCAAAAGAACCACGACTAGAACAAAGAAGGAAATACCTAAGCTTAAAATACGCAATTAAAATCTCCTTCACTCCAAATAATCCTACCTACAACAACATATTTACTAATAGATATACACACCTACAAACCAAAAAACCTAAGTCTCCAATTCCATTCTCTGGTAGAATTGCCAAATACGAGAGTCTTGTTGAAATCACATCGATCCCGATCATCCCAGGTAAACATAGGAAACCTGCTCCCTGGATCCAAAAAATTCCAGATACCAATACCGACCTCGTAGTACTCCCCAAAGATCAAATCACTAGCATTGAACATAAATTTAATTTTCAGCGACTATCTAACAAATTCCCTAACCACCAAAGGATATATACTGATGCATCAAAAAATGGCCAGGCAGTAGGAGCTGCCGTCGGCTGCGATAGTACAATCCAAAAAATTCCTCTTCCAAAAGCCTCATCCATCTTCACAGCAGAAGCTTGGGCAGTTCTTGAAGCCTTAAAATACGTACAGGACAATAATAATAACCTACTGTCCACCATCTTCACAGATTCTATGAGCGTCATCAAAGCAATAGTAAACCCAATTAGTGAATCCAAACATGAAGTTATCCTAAATATCCCTTATACATATACGGATCTTATCAACATTGGAAATCATATAACCTTAGCCTGGGTCCCATCCCACCAAGGAAGCGAAGGAAATTAGTTAGCCGACAAAGCCGCCAAAGAAGCAACATTGTCCTCACCAGTTAACAGCCGCAGACAGATTCCATACCAAGACCTCATTGTCGCGGTATGCCATACCGAACGACAAGCATGGAATAAAGAATGGAGAACTTCTAAGTATATAAAAACTCACAACGTAACTCAAGACTTCTACGAAACAATGCTCAGTGCCAATATTAAGAGGAAGGACAGATTATCTTAGCCAGGCTTAGAACCGGTCATTGTAAACTCACACATGAGTACCTCTTAAAAAAAACAGAGCCACCAATATGCACGGTCTGCAGAAAGAATATCTCGACCCACCATCTACTATTTGAATGCAACAAATATCAGACCCAAAGACAAAAGTATGGAATAACACCGACTAAAGCCTTAACTTTGCAAAAATACATAGAGAATACCCTACAGTATCTGAAAGACATCAATTTGTACCATAGTATATAGTCCAACAAAGTGTAGGAAATAGAACCCAGTCATCGCTATAATGACCTGAAGGTAGATGCTACGTTAAACGTGGATTAAAAAAAAAAAAAATATGATAAATTTAATAATCGATAGTCTTTTCTCTTTGATTAATTAATTCAAACGTTAAATTTGATATATTTTTAAAATACTCATTATATTATTATGAATTGTTCATTTGATCTCTTTCAGAATGCAAAACATCAAATTAATTGATACGAAATGGCAAATGGAGAAGATATGAAAACAAAAAGTAACTTTTCAGTTTGTTTCATTTGTACAACAGATTATTTTGTTTATCTCTGGATCGAATTATATCCCCAGTTTCATTCAATATATAACATCATAAAAACTTTAATTAAGAAACATTTGCAACAGGATTTTATTTCAATAAAAGTATAATTAAGCAAAATTAGAACGAAATGAAATTCTGTTCACTCACAGTAAACCAATAGCCGCCATTTGTCTTCTAATGCGCTCTCAGGTACAACTGGATTCTCAGCTCGACAAGTCAAATACTTTCCATCATCCTCCATGGTCGGAACGTAACTTAAAATACTTTTCGTAATGTTCGGACTATCTGCAAACTACGAAGAACTCAGAATCGAAGCTTGCGCGCATACGGCGCAGTTAATAATTGAACATCACTGGTGAAGATACAAAAATGTTATACTCACATTTCTGGCCATATGTTTCACTTGGTGGTTTCCTTTCCACCACGTGATCACGGCTTCCGGTCTGGAACCCGAACTAACACATTCAATTTCGTATGTTCTTAATGCCGATAAATGTACGCGTTTGTTTGTGATGTTCACTATCAATGGTTTTACTGTAATTAAAAAATGAACAGACAAATAAGTATAAAAATATTCGATGTACAGAAAGTATACAATTTTATTCAGCTTTCAAAAACGAGATCCATGAAAATTCTATTTAAATATCGCGAATATCAAGAATTTCCAAAATTCAAATCCAAACTAATTGTAAGTTAAGAAACATGAGCTTTTCAGAAGTCAAAGTGACTAAGTCTATTATATGATATTTTTTGTAATTTTAGTGTCAGAGTATTTAATTAGAGTAAGTGCATGTAATATGGAACACCAGAATATTTCGGAATCTAAACAAAAATGAGTTAGTAACAATGTAACATATTTCATCAAAAATAACAGCGATCATATTCACAGCTCGACATCAGTTGGAAGTCAGATATTAAATGCGAAACTGATGGTTATTTCAAAATATAAAGGTTTGTGGTAAGAGAATTATATGTTCAAAATTTACAGTGAAATTAAGTTGAAAAAATATTACTTTTACACATTTATCATTAAATATGTTCATTTTTGAATATTCTAAAAAGACTTACTATTAGATTTATTTTCTTCTTTTAGAATAATTCGTATTTATTTGTCGAAATACTTATGTACCCAACATGGAACACGTTGGATATACGTAATATGGAACATGTTCCACATCCGCAACATTCATGTGTTGGGTGCACGTTAGTGTTAATTCTATGTAGTATTACTGTGTGGCATGTTCGATATTTTTACTATCACGAATACATTATTGTATTACAGCATATTACATAGCATTATATAAATGTGATTATTGTACATATCATGGGTGGAAGTTGAATCAGATTTAGCTTGTGTTCTGAATTCATTATTAACATCGCTTGAAGAAAGGTTACATTGAATCAATAAGGGAAAGAAAAATTGTAATAATAGAGTTAGTACTGGAAAATAAAGTTTCAAATGATAAACTCGTAGACTTCAAGTGATGCATTAAGAATCACCAGATGATAACGATGCTGCTAATGGTGGTGGCTATACAGAATGCTTATCTTGTAGTAGTAATTATAAAAATGGCATTAATGGTGATGTATGTGCGTCGTCGTGTCGACAATAATTAGCGACGGTCTCTGACGCGTAGAATTTGTGACAATTCTCAAAGTTGGATATAAGTGGACTGTATTGAATGGTTGACTTCGAGTTTAAACAAAAACGAACTTTATTAAATCGTGAGGGATACCGGACTTGTGTATAAGTTGAATGTATGAATGTTGAACTTTGTATTTTGAATGTCGAAGATTGAAGTCTATCTAATGTCTAACTTCTAATGTCTAACTGATGTCCAATGTATAATGTTTATCTAATGTCTAATGAAGTTGTTTAATGTCTGACTCTCCGACGCTTTTCCGCGATCCAGGAAAACTCGGAGTGGGCGATCACACTTCCTCAAACTTGGAAGGGATAGCAAAAATGATGTTCCTATTGGATGACAAATATTGAGTAGAAGTGGCAAAAAAGTGACGTAGTTGGGTTTTTCCCAAAATGACCGTAGCGAGTAATAAACCTAAAGAGTACCTCGACATGAATGGAAAGTACAAATAAAAGACTCTACGAAATTAACAAATGTTTTCCGAAGGACCTAAAAATTACAAACTATTGTGCCCAAAACTTGGCCTGAGGTCTAATCCTCTCTAATATGTATTTTACAACCTAACAGGTGAAAAGTTTCAATGTATTCATTACTTTCATTAGGATCATAAATGATGTGGTGCGTCAGGTGCATCATTCACATAGTCGGTGTGTAGATGAAGAGATTTAATATAATTAAAGATAAATTTCGAAAAATGTAAGATATTTGTTTATTTATCCATGTCATGGAAATAAATATTCATTTTCCGTCGTAGCAATAAAATATTTTGCGATTAATTTTAGATGTGCCACATTAGATATCGTTTTTCAATTTATCGCGTTCGCCATTTTTTAACCGACTTCGAAAAAGGAGGAGGTTACTCAATTCGATCAGTACATATTTTTTTTTTTTTTTTTTTTCTATGTGTGCCCGCCGATT